ACTTGTCTAATGTTATCTAGATTTATATATAAATTTTATATAGAGTGGTGCGCATTTATATGTCTGTGATATGTCTATAGTATGTCTATGTTACGTGATCGTGCACTGATGGCGCGTGCAACGGCTGGAAGGTCTGGAAGACCACTTGGATTGCCTTGCCGCTTGACCTTTGGGCGTTTTGGCTTATCTTTAACTATCTTCAATCTGGAACTCTTGGGTACACAAGTCTTATATCATCTTATATAATTTTGTCTTATAATATTATTGTACTGTATGGTACATCATTATGCCATTACGCATTGATATCATTGATCTGCTACAGTAAGATTGAAACAATGAGAGTGTGCTCTCGCTGCTTGCGTTGCGCTATCTTGCACCACCTGAACCAAGCCCTGCTGCATGATTGTAAAGAACAAATACTGTATCTTCCAATATGCAAACAACAAACTCCCACCTTCAGGAACCGGCAGTACAAAGAAACGAAAGGATGGAATGAATAAACAATGACAGGCGTCTAGTTCGTGCGCGTCTGCGCATGTCAGAAACAAGCCATGGCTGGGTTGGAAGACTACTCTCCGGCTGGAAGCAACCTCAAGTTCCCTCAAACTTGTTTCAACCATTTGCAAAGGCAATACATCCCAAAATATTGAAAGAGAATTTGACAAACTCCCAAGTAGGATCTATAAACATCTATAAAGATATGCAATCATCTGCGCTGTTTCCTGTTTCTCGCGCTCAGCTGCACTTGGTCAAGCTGAAAACCAGCTGTAAGCAGCCGTTCATCGAGCAAGTTGGCGTGACATTGGGACGCGTGAATGGTGTGAGTCGTTCATCATACCAAGGCACATGGCGGTAGGCATTGTAAGATCCTCTGCTTTATCAGCCAACTCCTTGACGTCACTGGCTCTGATCACATTGATTTCTCATGCTTCTCCCGCCACTGGTTGGCAAGCCTTCGAACTGCCTGGTTGCTGACAAGCTTGGCATGCTTCAGCATTCCATGGCCCATGGGAGACAGAACACCCGTTCCATGTCGTGGTCGGCATTCTAGTGCTGCTGTCTTGTCGTGAATCCACTTCTCGATCCACCACCGCCTCAGCTGTGCCAAACATCTTCCATGGCTAGTTGGACCCTGCTGCCTCCGGCACACAAACTACATCATAATCGTGCAACCATGCAAGTTGCAACACACCCCTTGCAGGCCTTCACATGTGATTTAGTCACTAGACACTTTAGTCACTCAAATGGCAGCTATCATGTATCCAAGAAGAGACCCTGCGACACGCATGAGCTCCGAAGAAACCGGCCCATCCCTGCTTCAAGTTCAGCTACTCATACGTCTCACCATCGGCAGCCACCACTGGATCTGTGAACAGCTCCAGGGACATTGGACAGCAAAGGTCTGGTGGCGGGCCATCAGCCTGGCTCTCTCCCAGAATCCTTCGCGTCAGTCTCACACAAGTCCAGAAAAGGACCGCTACCAGGAGCCCACAGCACCAGAAGGCCATGTCACCGGGGATGGTGCCTAGGGAATGGAAGCATTACGAAGCATTGATCAACAGCAACAAGCATTCACCAAGCATGCGCAAGTGTTGACCTATCAAGCAGCTGGCTTCAGCCACGTCCACAAGACGCACTTTGACCATTATAAGCAGCGTGTTATCAGCATCTTCAGGACAGCCAACAGCTCCATGAAAGCAAGCGAAAGAGAGCTGGGTTTCAAACTCTCGTTGATGTCGTCTTCAACGTCATTGCTGTGCTCCTTGCCGAGGAAGTGGTCCTATGGTCAAAACAAATCACTCCGAATGCACAAAAACATCCAAGAACTCCGCAATCCCACTTTGTGTTGGCAATGCCAATTATATCCGTGCGTTTCCAGTTTTTGTTGCCGATTTTGCCACAACCTTCGCAGTTCCTACGTCCTTCAGCAAGCTGGACAGTGTCAAGAAAATTGATTGCTGTCGAAATAGCACCGTCCACCAAATCTCAGATTCCATCACCAGATCGGACGCACCAGACTTCCAATCTGCATGCCTTGACTCACCTTGGCCCTGCCAAGGCCCTGTCACTTCAGTCGTGATAGGATCCTTAAGCCAAACTGCCAAAGTTGCCAAAACTGCCGAAACAACACGAAACAACAAACAAAAATAAACAGAAACTCAAAATGCACTGCCTCAAATCCTCAGCCCATCTCCTAGTTAAGTTCTTCGCATGCGGGAAACCATCTAACACCCAAAAAATATCAATGTTTTTATGCAAATTCAAAAAACTAGCACGCTAAGCATGCGCCAAGCGTCTCTGAGATAAAAGAGTTTCCGAGATCCGGAGGAACGCTTGCCAATCTTGCCACTCCCTGCCAGCTGCCGTGCCAACCTCAAAGCATGCTTGTACAGGGGTCAGCCAGTCAGCCTATTGTGATTGATGAGTCGAGTTTTCAACCTGCTCAAAATCAAGAACCTGGAAGACCGTACTCCCTAGAGAATTTTACTGCTAGATATGCCCCTTATCGCCAATTTAACTAGGAACAATAAAATATGATATATATATATATATACCTGCAACTACTGCCCAGGGACCTTGGGAAATCAGTTTAGACCCTAGAATCTAGGGTCTTACATCGTATTCTGTAGGTAAAAATGTTAATTTTCATCGACCATGCTAGACCCCCCCTAGGGATGCCGTACCAGGGGTCTAACATCCAAGTACCGCCTAGCTACTTAGAAGAACATGAGCGCGGTACTTGGATTGTAGACCCTTCCACTGGCCTACACCCATTTGCCTACCTAAATCCATGGAAAGTCATCTATCTATATATTATGTATTCATTTTATTTACTAATTTATACACGTTTTTGTTGATATTGTTTATCTGTTGCATATCGATCGAGACCCATGCTAGTGTCCAAGGAGGGCAAGGGTCCAGAGCTAAACCAATATCCGAGAAAGGATTGTAGATCTTAATGTAAGATTTCAACGGTTTTCAACTTTCAGATTCTTGTTGAAAAAAACATTTCTTCTTGATTCATTCGCTGATTCTCTACAAATAGAAGTTGGTAGGGCCGGGCTAAGAATATGACCAAAGGAAGCCAAGGGCGAAAGAGACCCCAGCCACATCGCTGGCAGGCGCGAACAAGAAAGACGAAGAAGGCATAAAGGCTACGTCTGCTTGTTTGGCCGTACGGCCGAAGGCGGGACGGCCTCTTTAGCTCACTATTCCCCCTTTGCCTAGGTCTGAATTGGTTTGCCATGAGCCTCAACGGTTGTTTTCGTTCGCGAGGGGCTACCCAAAACCATGCTAGACCCATTAATGGAATGCGGCTTGATTGTTTGGGAGGGTTGTAGCCTCTGGTAGGGGTCTAAAGTGGTTTGCCATAAGCCTCAACGGTTGTTTTCGTTCGTGGGGGGCTACCCAAAACCATGCTAGACCCATCTCAATGAAACGCGGCTTGATTGTTGGGGAGCATCCATCAAGGGTTGTGGCCGCTGGTAGGGGTCTAAATTTGCTTGCCATGAGCCTCAACGGTTGTTTTCGTTCGTGAAGGGCTACCCAAAACCATGCTAGACCCATCTTAGTGAAACGCGGCTTGATTGTTGGGGAGCATCCATCAAGGGTTGTGGCCGCTGGTAGGTGTCTAAATTAGTTTGCCATGAGCCTCAACAGTTGTTTTCGTTCGTGAGGGGCTACCCACCTTAAGGGGGTGGTATATAGGGGCCAAAATAGTTTGCCACAAGCCTCAACGGTTGTTTTCGTTCGTGAAGGGCTACCCAAAACCATGCTAGACCCATCCATCCATCAAGGGTTGTGGCCGCTGGTAGGGGTCTAAATTAGCTTGCCATGAGCCTCAACGGTTGTTTTCGTTCGTGAAGGGCTACCCAAAACCATGCTAGACCCATCTTAGTGGAACGCGGCTTGATTGTTGGGGAGCATCCATCAAGGGTTGTGGCCGCTGGTAGGGGTCTAAATTAGCTTGCCATGAGCCTCAACGGTTGTTTTCGTTCGTAAAGGGCTGCCCAAAACCATGCTAGACCCATCTTAGTGGAACGCGGCTTGATTGTTGGGGAGCATCCATCAAGGGTTGTGGCCACTGGTAGGGGTCTAAAGTGGTTTGCCATGAGCCTCAACGATTGTTTTCGTTCGTGAAGGGCTACCCAAAACCATGCTAGACCCATCTTAGTGGAACGCGGCTTGATTGTTGGGGAGCATCCATCAAGGGTTGTGGCCGCTGGTAGGGGTCTAAATTAGCTTGCCATGAGCCTCAACGGTTGTTTTCGTTCGTGAAGGGCTACCCAAAACCATGCTAGACCCATCTCAATGAAACGCGGCTTGATTGTTGGGGAGCATCCATCAAGGGTTGTGGCCGCTGGTAGGGGTCCAAATTTGCTTGCCATGAGCCTCAACGGTTGTTTTCGTTCGTGAAGGGCTACCCAAAACCATGCTAGACCCATCTTAGTGAAACGCGGCTTGATTGTTGGGGAGCATTCATCCAAGGGTTGTTGAATTGTCATTGGTCTATTCTCTTGAGGAGGCTAAGGTTCAGAGCTACAGTGACACGTATCCAAGAAAGATAATTACAGTAGATTGTATATTTGGAACAGAAAAATTGTCTTTTGGGGATCAAAAGTGCAGAACCTGCTTGGTGCTTGGCTTGTCTTCCTCTTCTTCGGCTCTATTGCTGATCGCCAATATTTCTGCTGAAGGTTGGCATTAAACGAAATAAAAAACTAAGAGTGCGTTAAGAATGTGAGGGACCCCTCACCTTAACTATCCAAACTTTTGGGCAATTGAAATTAAGAATTTCAGGTATCTGGACTGCCACCTTTCGGATTCTTTTACGGCACTCGGGCTGCATGCTGGATCCTAAAAAAAACAATTTGAAACTTTGTTCAACATCACAAAGGTCTAAGATGGAAGTACCAAGGCCAAAATGTTACGACTTTCAAGGGTCTAAGATCCTAATACCGCCACCTATGGGGAGGGTCTACATTGATAGGGGCCAAAGGTCTAAAATTATTCTTGGACCATGTTAGACCCTGGTGCTGGAAATCCCTAGGGGTCAATCATTCTAGGCCCTCAGTAGTTGAGGGTATTGATATATTATATACAAGTTTCTGGTTCTGGGTACAGTTGCTCGCGCTACGCAATTTTGAAATCATTTCAGCTCAATCCTCTGAAAGGGCAAATGGGCAAAGCACTGCAGCCTCTAACTTTGTTGTACACAACCCCAGTGCAAACCTTGCATGATTTCCTCACCAAGATACGCTAGGTCTGCATCTTGGATGCTTCTTTGGGCTTTCATTTCGGCATTGCACCGCCTTGCGATATGGAATGCCATAGCTATAGGAAATCAACGATCAAATTGCCGAAGGATGCTGGAAGACTTTGAAGCAAACTTAAGCTGAGATACGTATCCAGAAGCTCCAACAAGACCTAAGTTCGCACTGCTGGTTGCAATTCAAGAGCGCAAGAAACCATTTCCCACGAACCCCTCTCTTGGTTCCAATTTTGTTTCCGGTTCTCCGGGTTCGTCCAACATGGGGCTGCGGCAAAACGTTCCATGCTCTTTTTATTTTCTACAGGTCAGACAGTCTTGACCACCATGGTTTTGCTTGCCATCACCTCCATTCCTGGCGCCATTTCTCTTTGTCTCTTGTTGGCAGGGTATCCCACCAGCATGCTACACATCATTCTTGCCTGTGCACGTGCATATCCGTAAATCCGGATTGTGTGGCATGTCTATGTTTACATGTGCCTATATGTAAATGCGTGCATGCGTGTATATATATATATATATATATGTATGTGTGTGTGACCCAGTATTGCGAACTGGTTTTGCTAAAACAACAGGAACACCCTTGGACAGGCATGATCAACCACAACCAACCCACCGACTAAAAAAACTCAACAAGCAGGGGGCACGGCGCCCGATTTCTTAGCCGTGCCAATGAAGCTAATCGGGTGGATGAGATGCTGGACGCAGCATCTTGTACCTGCTGCGGTGCATCTGGATGCGTGAGCGCATAGCTGATGGCCGCTCAAACAACACATTTTCACAAAACAACACATTTTCCCACAAAGCTTCGGAGTCCGAGCGCTCTGTAGATCAGAACTGCAGTTGTGACAATGATGTAGCGTCTACGAGATTTTGGTTTCGGACCTGTTTGCACCTAAAGATTCTGATTGGACCTGTCTGCACCTTGCAGATCCTGAGATTCAGATTCTGATTGTGGACCTGCCGGTACCGTAAAGATTTCTTCTGCCCTTGTGGCTTTATCCAGTGTGTGTCGGTGAGTATGTAATCATATGAAAAATAATGTCTATGGGCCGGTACATGTGCATTGTGTATAGTATATGTGTATTGTGTATTGCGTATGTGTATCTTGTATGTGTATTGTGTACATGTATTGTGTACATGTATTGTGTGTGTGTGCGCGGTTGTTATTCCGTGTGTCTATATATATATAATTATACTGTGTATATATTATGTATATTTAGAGAGAGAGAGAGAAAGGGAGAGAGATCGGTGTGTAAAGAGAGATCGGTGTGTATTGTATGCTCTGTTGTGTGGTTGTTATGTTGTGTGCAGTTTTTGTGGTAAACCATCACATACTGCAGTGCCCAAATCAGCCCGAATCGGAACCTACAGCTATGACCTATGCCATATGTGTCCAAAGATATGCATGTACAGCTGTATGCATGTATGTATGCATGTTTGTATGCATCTGTATGCAGTTGTGTGCAGTTGTATGTGCATCTGTGTGCACATCTGTAAAATCATCATAAACACACACATGTATATATATATATATACATACACGTGTGTGTGTGTGTTAAACATGTAATTATTATATGCTATTCTACTATTGTGTGCACGAACATATAACTTGTATATGTCTGAGTGAGGGAAGGGCAAGCGTTCACGATGATTGCTTATTATTTGGGAAAGTTCTTGCTCAATATTTTGACCCTTCCTTTGCAGCCCCTGCATGTCAAGGCACTTGGGGATCTGAGGACATGTCCTCAAGGTTGAACTCCGGGCACAAGTCGGCAAATCCTTCAACATCCTCCCCGGTCAAAGCACGCCTAAGGTGCAAAGACGGTCAGAAACTTCACTCACTTCAGCTGCTTAGCGGGATAGCCTTCGGCCAGGCATTGACTGTGTATTATGTATTCTATAACTCAACCGTTTATCGTTTTAATGGCTGCGCTGCCTCTTGCAATTGTGACGCAAGATGACTGTGACACATGCTTTCAGAGCGGTTCCCTCCTTCCACTGCTGCGCCAGAAACTAACTTCAGTCCAGTTGCGGGTGGTGTCTCGCCTGTTTCACCGTCAGATCTATCAGTGAGTGAGGCATGGCAGGGCATCGAATTCGGTTTCAGCATACTTTGGTTTGGTCACACTGCCTAATATCATCAAATATGCCTCTCGCTTCTGTTCTGTACGGCAATCCTGAAAATGAATGAAAATCCAGTTCAGACTATAGGTTCTGCTCCTACTTATATAATGGCTAGGGCTTCAAGTAGGATGCCCGCATCTTGATATTGTGTTACCATGTGTTGCTAGTTCCAGGTGCCTTCGGAATGGATGGGACGCTTTCCAGGATCTGCGCTCGTCTAAGGTCGTAAGTGCTGCTTCGCCAGCTGTAGGACCAACTCAATCGATTTGAGCGCCATTGCTGACACACCTCGCTTTGCTCTCTCTGCCCAGGCTGCTTACTTTTGAAACACGCTTCTGGTTACAAATGTACACAAATGTTACAGCCATGTCGAGCAATGTCTAGCTGGAATATTTGCACTTAAGCTTCAGTTAATGCGCGCTGTCTCTTAATGAAGTGCCACAAGGTTTATCTGCCCATCTCAATCATTCATGAGCCGCCTCTTCCTGTGCCTCTTGGACTTCTTTGGTCAAATCATCCGGTGTTTGGTGCTGTCCCCGGGCAAGCGTGAAGAAGAGCCTCACCAGCACCAGCCACCGCCACAACCACGAAACGACAACAGCGACTCAATATGTTCGTAAAGCCACCGTTTTCAATCATTTCTTATGTTTTGATTGAACTCCATGATGCACAGTAAAGTCACAGCAGCTGCAAGAAGTCGTGGTCTTGTGTGCTTCCAAGTGGCAGCAAGCACTGCAGCATGAAAACTCACATGGCTCGGCTAGGCTCGCAAAGGAGCCATGGCAACCATGTTCGTCAGCTATTTCCCAACATGTGGAGACATATGGAGCGTGGGCAAAAAGAAACCACTCGGGCTCTTCTGGCTGGTTGTCTCTCAGGCATGGGATTCGGGACTGGTTCCGACATGTGCAAACCCTAAGCATCAAATGATGTAAATGTTGTCTTCCTGCGAAAATAAATGGGGCGGTTTGGTAAAGGTTGGTGGCATGTTAAAAACGTGGTGCCAACTTTTTTCATCACCCAACCACTGGGAGAGAGCGTGTGTGGCACCACTTGCGAAGTAAGGTCATTATGTAGTCTTGCTAAAGCCAGAACAAAAGGGGTGGTAATCAGGTGTAGTCAAATCCCTCGCTCTCAAGGAAATGCAAGAGCAAAGGGAAAAGAACGCCATCTGTTTGACTCTTGTCCTCTACTACCCCTGGTAGCAGGCAGTTTGGGCAGAGACAATCCACCCACAGATCTTCCACGAGCGCCTTCGCCTCATCTGGCGCCCAATCCACGTCACAGCCTGTCTCCTGCGATGGAATCCAGAGACAAACACTTCGCAAGACTCAGACTGCGGTGGGGTACTGCCTCGTTGTCTCAAAGCTCTTTAACATCTCTTCATGTATCACGGCAAGTTTTGTTCTTCCCTGTCCTCTGGAGAAGCATGTTTGCATGAAGCAAAGGTATGTGCATATATATATAGAGAGAGAGAGATATATATATATATAGATATTGTGAATTGAACATTTGTCCAGTAACTCCTTGACCTGCAGGTATGTTATCTTGCCCTTGCACTCTCATGTTTCATGGAAACATCTACGGTCACCCGCCAGACACTTTAGGCTGAGGCTAGCCTTGGGAGGAGGGCGGGTAGTGTCAGAGCCATCTTTCTACCCATTTGCTGTGGCCAGCACTTTCTGGAGGAAACGTGGAGCAGAGATCTACAGGTCTTGCCAGGTGGAAAAACAATTGATTGTGCAGCGCGGCCGCTGTCAGGTTTCACATTGAAGGGTTCAGCTTCTGACTACCTCTGTGACACCACTCACATTGGTAGCGGAGCTACCATAGCTCCAGGGGTTGTGGCAAACCTCCATCAGTGGACTGGCAGGAACTGATTGAGTTCCAACCGGAGACATGTCTGAAGCATCCGATGGAAAATCGGCATCAGATTCACAAGTACCCACGCAGTTGACATCCCTGGTACCTCAGTTTGAGCCAGCTCAACATGACCTTGAACAGTACTCGCAGAAGGTGGAATTATTGGCCAATATTTGGCCTGAGAACAAGATCAACGAGCTTGTGACCCGACTGATTTTAGGAACCAGTGGAGCTGCCTTTCAGAAACTTCAGTTGCAGAAAGATGAACTCATGGTAGGAGGCAAGTCTGGAGTTGAAAAGTTGGTAAAGGTCTTGGGTGGACACTGGGGAAAAGTATCTCTGGAACGAAAGTATGAGATCTTCGAGAAGGCAGTGTTTCGATGTTCACAACGTTCAGATGAATCAAACGATTCTTTTCTGGCCCGTGCTGACATCCTTTGGACAGAACTGATAACTAGCAAGATTTCCATGCAGGAACTCCAAGCATACGTGGTGCTCCGTGGAAGTCTTCTGACAGCAGAAGACAAAAAGCGTGTGATTCTGGAAAGTGAGGCGACTAAGTCAGGCACACTGGACATGGAGAAGGTCACCACATCCGTCAGAATGCTTGGTTCAGGTTTCTTTCATGATTTCACAGGTGTCAAGAAGTCCAAGGGGAAGGTCTATGATGCTCATGCTTTGGTTACAGAAGAATGGGAAGACCCAGAGGCCCAGAAGAGACCTTTAATACAGAAGATTGGAACGAAGATGAGATGGTAGAGAATCTAGCAGGTGAAGGAGATGAGGACGCAGTCCTGGTCTGTGAATATGAGAATGCAATGCAAGACGCAGTGCAAGAAGATGAGAGTCTTGCAGCCACGTTCAATGCTCACACAGATGCTCGCCGACGACTGAGCGAGCGTTTCCGCAACCGTGGATTCTGGCCCACCAGTAGTTCCAAGGGCAAGGGAAAGGGTTCCAAAGGCCGAGGTAAGTTTTCCGGAAAGGGGAATTTCAACAATCGAAAGAGCCTGCAGCAACGCATCCTGGAATCAAATTGCCGGCATTGCGGCCGCAAAGGTCATTGGCGAGCCGAATGCCCGGAGAGAAGTCGCAATTCCAATGCAGCCGCAGCCAATCCAGCCCCGACCATGACGTCCATGACAATGAGCAGTGAAACAACCGTTGAAGGCACTTTGCCTCTAGAGTTTGTGCACCTGCCTGAGATCGTCGAGAGCACAGTTGATGTACCCAGTCCGCATGAAGCCTACGTGTCAGTCCATGGGGATAGAGTTATTGGGGTTAACCATAAGGTTACTAATCTTGGGGATAAAGATAGAGTAATGGGGAAAAGTCGAATCATCCGAAGGGTTGAAGAACGACTTGGGTTTTCACCAGCTCACCTCCATCCAAGGAGTGAGCCTGCAAGTACCTGTGTGTCAAGTGAGCATTCGCCTGCATCAACCAGTGAGCAAGCGATGTTGCCGCCGCTCGCACAAGCCGAGCCAGTGTTGTATGCGTCCACAGGTGCCTCTGGCATCTTGGATTCCGGAGCAACCAAAACCGTGATGGGCAGTCAGTTGCTCTCAGATTTTCTGAGAAACCTGCATCCTGGAGTTCGCCAACAGGTGAAGAGGTGTAAATGCGAAGTCACCTTTAAGTTTGGGAACCAGGGTACATTAGATAGCCAACATGCACTTGTTATTCCTATTGGTAAGCTGGGATTAAAAATAGCAATAGTACCAGGAAGCACTCCACTGTTGTTATCAAACACTTTGCTCAGGACCTTGAAGGCAACTCTGGATATTGAAAAGCAAGTGTTACTCAGCCCGTTCCTTGGAGAGCCGATCCGACTGAATTTGAATAACAGAGGCCTGTTTTTAGTTGATGTCAATGAGCTTTCCATGGCCTCCAATGGGAAAATGCCTGCAGCTGAGACTTTTGTGCATGAGACCGTGAACACGAAGCCAGTCCAAAGTGCAAAAGACTCCAGAGCCCAACAGGTGTCATGTCAAGTCAGAGAACGTCTTGCTGAACAAGAGGAATCAAACAACCCAGTCACACAACAGTCACATGTCATGCCTCCACAACATACGGTCATGAATAAAGATATCAAACAAGAAGTGTTCAGATCAGGTACCATTTCCACTTTCAGTTTGTGCCAAGCTGTGCCACCTGAGTTCAAACAAACAACAGTCCAGGAAGAAACCTCAAAATATCCAATAAAGGATTGCACCCGTGCAAAAACAGAGAAGCTCAAATCCAACGAAAAGATCACCAACCACCAGCAGCCACCAAGTGATGCAAGCTCGAAGCCTCCTGACGTGTCCCGACCTGAGTCTCCTCAACATGTCGTTGACCGAGCGCCTGAGCCGTCTGGAACAGGATCAAGGCGAAGCAGATGCTATGTCAGCTTTCAAGGAGATGACACTGGAAGAAATGGGACATGTGCCAGTCACCTTTGGCAAAACTCATATGGGCAAGAGTTTCATGGAGATTTGGACCCTGGAGAAGAAATGGCTGATGTGGTTTATCAAGACATACCAGACGTCAACGAAGCCCGAACACATGAAACTGGTGATCTACACAGAGCGGATGATAGAGCAAGCAGAGCAAGAGAGTCAGAGCAGTCATCACCAGAAGCCTGTGACACAGCCACGTCCCAAACCCAAGGCAAAGGACCAGGTCTTGACATCAGTCGAGACGCCAGTGCCCGAGGTGATCAACGAGGAACCCTGGATGGAGTCAGACATGATCTATGTGCCCCCAAGTGTTCATCAAGAGGAAATCAATCAACTGCAAAGCAGGATGGCAAACCTCGAGGGAGCACTGCACGAGATCCTCTCCCACATTCGTCAAGGGTGAGCGCTGAACATTGGGCACAAGGGATGAATCAGGGATGAAGCTAGCTGGAGATATCGATGCTGACGAGTCACATGTTTACTTTTCAAGTCAATCAGAATTTCAAGTTTCATTTCAAAACCTCATCAAAACCATATCAGAAGAATATCAAGGTGTTGCACAGTCCACATCAAACAAACGCCAGCAGAGACTCCACATGCTCGAAGTGTTCTGCAGTTCCAAAAGTGAGCTCACCAAGCAATCCAGAAACATGGGATATCGGGCAAAGCGTTTTGGTTTTACTGAAGGGGATCTTTCATGTCCTGAAGGAAGACGAAAGCTTTTTCAGATTGTTTGCCAAGAAATGCCAAAGAATGTTTGGTTTAGCCCGACCTGCGGGCCATGGAGCTCCTGGAACAATTTGAATGCTGCCAAGTCCGTCCATGCCTTTGATCAAATTCATCAACAGAGAGTCCAACATTTGTACCAACTAGCCTTAGGGATAGTCCTTTACCGTGTACAGATTTCCAGGGGTCAGCATTTCCATTGGGAACAGCCGAGACGATCACTGATGTTCCGGACACCTCTGTTGCGTGAACTTTACGATCAGACCATGAGTGCAACGTTTGACATGTGCCGTGTCGGTCAACTAAGGGATCCCGAGAACCAACTCCTCATGCAAAAGGGCCTGGAAGTTCGTACAACATGTCATGAATTGTACACACAACTACATGGTCGGTACTGTCGTCATGACCATCGGCATCAGATTTTGGAGGGAACCACTATCCATCATGGAGAACGCAAGAACAGGACTGAGTTTTTAGAACTATACCCCCGAAAGTTTGCTCGTTTTGTGTCAAAGATCCTTTGCAAGGCCAAGACCATGCCATGGTCTAATCAGAGCTCTCTGGCAACCGAACAGTCCAGCACCTTTGCTGCAGCAACCAAGCGTCAGCAGCCCAACGGTGGCAGCATCCGAGCCAGTGATTCCAAGAGAATCAAAATTCAGCATGCGAAACTGATTGAACCAAGCCAAATGCCCAGGAAAAGACGCAGACTGAGTAAGTCAAACCCCGATGATCAGGGTAATAGTGAGCTCAGTAAAGATATAGTGGAAAGTGTAAAACCAATCCTGCCAAGAGTGGGCAAAACAGAAATACGAGATCCAGAAGTCATCAACAAGTTACAAAAGTTGTTTGACGACAAAAGGCTGGTTCGTGTCATAGCATGCAAAGGCACAGAACGAACCCTTCCTCCTCCACAAGGACTGCTGGCCGAAGAGGCCCCATTCCGTCGCGCCATGGTTGTTCAAAGGGGTGACCACCAAGTGAAAGTAGAAGACCAATGGGAGGAGTGGGGAGAATTGGCTCAGCGACAGCTGGTCCGTAGCCTGGTTCCATGCCATGTGAATATAACAGTTTTTGCATGCAATCACCCAGCCGACACCGCAAGACCTGATCAATTCAAGCCGTCAGAGAGCCCTCAATCACAGGTCTTGGAAAGACCAATGCAAGACATGGGCACCTCTGCAGATAGCCGTCCCAGTGCAAATGACGCTGGAACAAATGCCAAACCCTTAGAGCCGTCGCCTGGAACAAAGACCACCGAAGAACCGGACAGTAGGCAGCTCTCCAACGAAACAGATCTATCAGGGGTATACAGAAATGTAGAACTGGACATTCAAGACAAGCACCAAGGTCCTCGTTTTGCAGCCTTAACCAGTGAAGAACGTAGACTCCTCTTGCGATTGCATAAGAACTTGGGTCATCCCTCCAGTCAAGTTCTTTCCCAAGTGATGAGGAATCAAGGGTACCCAAGTCACATGATACAAGGGTTACAAGACATGAGATGTTCTACGTGCCAACACCATCAGAATCCAAAACTCCAAAGACCAGCCACGTTGAAACAAGAACTTGATTTTGGGGACAAGGTATCGGTAGATGGAACAACATGGACCAATAAGAATGGAAAGACATTTCATTACTACCATTTCCTTGATCACGGCACCAATTATCACACAGCTGTTATCGCACCAAACCGAACGACCGAAAAGGCCATAGAGAAGGTGACCCTGGGGTGGCTCTCATGGGCAGGTCCACCGAATGAGTTTGTTGCCGATTCAGCCACAGAGTTCAACAACGAGGCATTTGGAAGATTCCTTCAACAGTTCAACACAAATGGAAGAATCATTCCCCCTGAAGCCCATTGGCAACTGTCCAAGTCAGAAAGGCATGGAGATATTCTCCAACACATGCTATCAAAGTTTGAGGAAGACTTCCCCATTGAATCATATGCTGATCTCCAAGCAGCATTAGCCAAGAGTACATCCGCCAAAAATGCCTGTAGCCTCCGTCATGGGTTTTCTCCAGAAGTGCTTGTTTTTGGAAAAGGGTTGAAAGTCCCAGGTTCCCTCTCAAGCGATGATGGTCTCCCTGCTCACAGCTTAGCTAGCGAGGAAAGTGGCCAAGGACTTCAATTCAGAACTCAGCTGGCAATGCGTGAAAGTGCCCGTCGCGCTTTCCATTCAGCGGACAACAATGCAGCCCTCAGAAGGGCAGCACTACGTCGAGACAGACCCGACAGGGGAAGCTATCAACCAGGTGAATGGATAATGTTCTGGAGATCCAATGAAAATCAAAAGGGATGGATTGGACCAGCCAAAGTCATCCAGCAAGATGGGCGGTCATCACTATTTTGTTTGTACTTGGGAAGCCTGGTAAGAGTAGCCCCAGAGCATGTTCGACCAGTGAGCGCAGTGGAAGCACAGCTTATCAGGGAACCATGCCCTGAAGTAGCCAGTTTGCTTCAGAAACCACAAGGTGCCACATCCCAAGATGGTACTGGATCTGCAGCAATTCCCACACCGACAGACCAAAATGAATCCAGAGTAGCGAGACAGCACAATGAACCTATCAATTCACGGTCCCATAATGATATAACAATCAATGATCAAGTTGAAAATAACAATCAAGAAGTAACATCATCTCCACAAAGTATCTCCAGTCAACAACCAGATCAAGAGCCAGACATGGAGAATCCAACCGAAGAAAACATTCATCAAGCCCTGAGAACTGCCCTTGAAACTCCAGTACCAGAGACGGATGATGAGCTGCTGTGCGACATGCTGACATGTACAGATGCTGAAGCTTTCCTGGCCAGTGAACCTAATGAGAGCCTTGCCTGGCGTTTCGAATTGGATATCCCTCAAGACATTCATGAAGAAAACACCAATAATATCGATGACCTCATTCTCCTTGCCACCAGCCAAAAGAAACAAAGAACCGAAGTGAAACTCAGCCATTTGACCATGCAAGAACAAGAGGAATTCGAAAAGGCAAAGGCATCCGAAGTCAACAACTGGCTGCAGACAGGAACTGTCAGCAAAGCTCTGAGGTCCAGTCTTTCACCAGAGCAGATACTCAAGTGCAGATGGATACATGTATGGAAACCCATAGAAGACAAAACCGAACAAGAGAGACAGAACAAAACAAGAAAAGCAAAATCCCGACTGGTGGTATTGGGATACATGGACCCCGAATTGGAGACAATCCCTAGAGATAGTCCAACATTAGGTCGTCAATCCCGAATGCTTTTGCTCCAACTAATAGCCTCCATGAGGTGGACTCTGACATCCTTTGATATAAAGGCAGCGTTTTTGCAGGGGAAAACTCAGGAAGGCCGAAAGATTGGATTGGAACCTGTCCCAGAGCTTGCCAGAGCGATGAGGCTCAAGGAAAACGAGATATGTCGCCTGGAAAAGTCGGCATATGGCCTGATCGATGCACCATTCTTGTGGTTCAAAGAATTGGACCGCGTCCTCAGGCAGCTTTCCTTTGTACCCTCACCATTTGATCCATGCGTGTACTTGTTGTACAAAGAAAACTCCAAGACACCCTCAGGGGTAATAGGGATGCACGTTGACGATGGGCTCTGCGGTGGGGACGAGTATTTTGCAGAACAGCTGGCAAAACTTGAAGCAGTTTTCCCATTTGGTTCCAAAAAGTATCAAAACTTTGTCTTTACAGGGGTAGAAATGATACAACAACATGACAAAAGCATCATACTATCTCAGGAAAAGTATGTGACAAAGATTGAACCAATCCACATCAAAAGTGAGCGAAAGCAACAGATTGATCTCAACATCAATGCCGAAGAAAAGTTGGAACTCAGAGCCATAATCGGGTCTTTGCAGTACGCCGCAGTGAACACACGACCAGATCTTTCCAGCCGTTTGAGCCATTTGCAAAGTGCGATCAACACAGCGACAATATCCACCCTGATTGAGGCAAACAAGACTCTTCACGAAGCAAAGCGTCACAAAGACACCAAAATAAAGATCCAACCAATTGATATCAAACAACTTAGATTCCTTGCCTTCTCTGATGCATCTTTCTCATCACCAAAACAGCCAGACTCACACTCAGGTTCAATTATCATGGCCACACATTCAAACATAACTCAGAACTATACTTGCCCAGTCAATGCAATCAGCTGGGGATGCAAAAAGATACAGAAGGTAGTCGTGAGTACGCTTTCAGCAGAGACGATGTCACTCAATTCAACACTGGACCAATTATCATGGATACGCCTATTCTGGGGATGGCTTCTCAATCCAACTTTGAACTGGAAACAACCAAAAGAAACGCTGAATAACCTCCCTACTACAATTGCAGCTCCCACCTTGAAACCCATAGAACCATCAATAGCAGTTACTGATTGTAAATCTCTTTATGATTTGGTAACTCGAACTGCACCACCAAGCTGTCAGGAATACAGAACCCAGTTATTGGCTCGATCAATTAAAGATCTTCTCAGCGAAGGCATCACACTCAGATGGGTGCACAGTGGAGCTCAGCTGGCTGACGCATTAACAAAAGTGATGCAGGCCACCTTTCTTCGACAGACGCTGGAACTGGGAACGTACAAACTCCATGATGAAAATGCCATTCTCAAGGATCGTGCGTCAGCTCGAAGCAGAATGCAATGGCTCCATGAGAATGCAGAGGCAGAAAAGAGAAAACATTGAAGTTTTGGGAGTGTGAATTGAACATTTGTCCAGTAACTCCTTGACCTGCAGGTATGTTATCTTGCCCTTGCACTCTCATGTTTCATGGAAACATCTACGATCACCCGCCAGACACTTTAGGCTGAGGCTAGCCTTGGGAGGAGGGCGGGTAGTGTCAGAGCCATCTTTCTACCCATTTGCTGTGGCCAGCACTTTCTGGAGGAAACGTGGAGCAGAGATCTACAGGTCTTGCCAGGTGGAAAAACAATTGATTGTGCAGCGCGGCCGCTGTCAGGTTTCACATTGAAGGGTTCAGCTTCTGACTACCTCTGTGACTCCACTCACAAGATATCTATATCTCTATCTCTATCTATCGATCTATCGATCTATCGATCGAACTATCGATCAATCGATCTATTGATCTATCTATCGATCTATCTATCGATCTATCTAATCTAATCTAGTCCAATCTAGTCTAATCTAATCTGATCTAATCCGATCTAATCAACCTGTCAACCTATCAATCTATCAATCTATCAATCTATCTAATCTATCTAATCTATCTAATCTACCTATCTATCTATCTATCCATCCATCCATCCATCCATCCATCATCTATCTGCCTATCATCTCTCTATATTTCTATCTATCTATCTATCTATCTATCTATCTGTCTGTCTATCTATCTGTCTGTCTGTCTGTCTGCCTGTCTATCTATCTATCTATCTATTTATCTATCTATCTATCTATCTATCCTATCTATCCTATCTATCCTATCTATCCTATCTATCCTATCTATCCTATCTATCCTATCTATCCTATCTATCCTATCTATCCTATCTATCCTATCTATCCTATCTATCTATCTATCTATCTATCTATCTATCTATCTATCTAATCTATCTAATCTATCTAATCTATCTAATCTATCTATCCTATCTAATCTATCTAATCTATCTAATCTATCTAATCTATCTAATCTATCTAATCTATCTAATCTATCTAATCTATCTAATCTATCTAATCTATCTAAACTGTCTAATCTCTCTAATCTATCTACTCTATCTAAACTGTCTAATCTCTCTAATCTATCTACTCTATCTAATCTATCTACTCTATCTAATCTATCTACTCTATCTAATCTATCTACTCTATCTAATCTATCTAATCTATCTAATCTATCTAATCTATCTAATCTATCTAATCTATCTAATCTATCTAATCTATCTAATCTATCTAATCTATCTAATCTATCTAATCTATCTAATCTATATAATCTATATAATCATTCTAATCAATCTAATCAATCTAATCAATCTAATCAATCTAATCAATCTAATCTATCTAATCTATCTAATCTATCTATCTATCTATCTATCTATCGATCTATCTATCTATCTATCCATCCATCCATCTATCTATCTATCTATCTATCTATCTTATCTATCTATCTATCTATCTATCTAATCAATCAATCAATCAATCTATCTATCTATCTATCTATCTATCACCTATCTATCTGCCTATTTATTCATCTATCCATCTACCTATCTATCTGTCTATCTGTTCCTCTGTCTTTTTCATCTATCTGTCTATCTGTCAATTTGTCAACCTGTCCATCTGTCTATCTGCCTACCTGTCCATCTGTCTTTTTATCTATCTGTCTATCTATCTGTCTGTCTATCTATCTGTCTATGTATCTGTCTTTCTATCTATCATTCTGTCCATCTATCTATCTATCTATCTATCTATCTATCTATCTATCTATCTATCTATCTATCTATATATCTATTTATCTATCTAATCTATGTGCATGTGTATGTATGTATGTATGTAAATTTGGGGGGTATGTAGTCTGTATGTATGTATGTATGTATGTATGTATGTATGTATGTAGTATGTAGGTATGTATGGTATGTATGTATGTAGTATTGTATGTATGATCGCGAATTTATGTATGTATGTATGTATTGTATGTATGTAGTAGTATGTATGTATGATATGTATGTATGTATGAGTATTGTATGTATGTATGTATGTATGTATGTAGTATGTATGTATGTATGTATGTATGTATGTATGTATGTATGTGATGTGAATGTAATGTGATGTGATGTAATGTAATGTAATGTAATGTAATTAATGTAATGTAATGTAATGTAATGTAATGTAATGTATGTATCCGTGCGTGTGTGTGTGTGTGTGTGTGGGTGTGGGTGTGGAAAGAGGCATGCTTCCTCCAAGATAATCTGTCTGTGCTCCGGGGTCATGAGGTATTCCTGAGAAGCGAAAACCACAAAGATCCAGGCATGAAACCATGACCTCTCTCTGCCATGACTGCCATGACTCAGCACGTTCTAACTTCAAGCGAAGGTCCACCATATCCCTTGGCACTGGGAAATCCTGACCTGTCATTGCCAATGCAATGAAAGCTCATGGCACGACAGGGTAGACTGAATTGTTACAAGGGATCAGCTCTGCTTCGAAACCCAAGTGAATACAGTGACACATGCGTAGATGACAAACTCGCGGAATTCAGCATATTACAACAATAGTCGGGAAACAGAAACAACCCCTTGACTATGATTTCCTTATACACCGGATCTTAGAGTATGCTTCCATTTGTTTCCTTATGTTTCCGTTCCTTTCTTTCAAGATTTTCAAGTTAGTGCAACCACTTCAATGTTCAATAATGCTACTAATGATGTTACTAATGATGATCAAGGATGTTCAATGCATTTCAATGTCAATGAACTCACCAAACTCACCAGGATGTGCCGGGAGCTGCGCTGGGCAGTGAGGTCCCAAGGCGTGAGAAATCCATGGGTGTCGTGGCTGGCTTCAGCGGATCGATGTCTGGGATGGGGCCGAGGTTGCCTGCAACGATGGCAACGATGGCAACGATTGCTTGGGAAGGCCATGAGATGCCATGACGCCATGCCTGAAAGACATTGAAAGACATATAAAGACCGCAGCAGTGTTGTCCATCAATTCTATCGCATAATCGATAGCTTAAAGTTTCACAGCGTTTGCGCGGTTTGTTTATGTCGTTGAATCTGTTTCTGCGCATGGCGTGTGTTTTTCTATCTTTTCTGCAGTTTTTTCATCATGGTTCAGATCGCAGTGAAAGAGAGCCTCCAGGCACTGCTGGCAGAAACCTAGGCACACTGATTTGCCTGACTCAGCTGGCAATTGCAAAGCGCCCCTTTTCTTGTTTAATGTTTATTTAATTTTATTTATATATATATATGTGTGTGTGTGTGAATATAAACATACAAAGGATCATGAAGGATTATGAAGGCATCATCTCGAAGCCGCAGGACAGAGAAATCTCAGACTTGGACGAAGCCCCTAGCAGTTGATCAAACCTCGAGGGAGCTGTGAGAATGTTCGTATCGCATCTCAAATTTGATGAATCAAATCCCGGTGATATCCCCTGCAAAAAGGTTTTGCATGAGCAAATCCAACAACTTGAGCTGCACACTGGATTTCAGGGGAGCCATGGTCAGGAGGAGGGGCACCTGAATCAGATTGAATGAGCAGAATTTCATCTATCTTGCAATGTTTAGTGGGATGCTTTAAAATGTTTTAAATATGTTGAAATCTAAAACATTGCAGCCTCGCCGTTCCAGGCGCACTCCTTTCCAAGCCCAGCCAAGCTCAGCACTGTTGGAGAAGCCAAGTCCACCGAAGGCACCCAGGCCAGACAATCTAGGCTTCTTGCCTCCGACTCAAGCGGATCTCTCCCCGGTCTCTCCCCGACGTTCTGACGTTCAAACGCATCCACGACATTCACAAACAGAGAGCGAGAGAGAGAGAGAGAGGGAGAGAGTCATATTGATCACAGACATATTCATGCACAGGTATATGCACAGATATGCAGAGTGTAATATGTATGTATATATATATACAAATATAGAGTAGCGGACTGAAAGTTAGAATGCAGCCCACGTTTCCAAAATGTTAGGCGAGAAAGATAGAATGCAGCCCACTTCGAATGCGGCCGAAATCAAAAAACACAAAATAACAGGGAAATAAAAAAACAAAGACAGTCAAATTTAATCACATTCTATCACAGTCCCACCACGCGTATACCACACAAAATGACTATATTAACATTGAGAATGCCGATTTCAGCATTCTATCTCCAGGGTTTGTGTGTCGAAATGCTGCAAAAATACAAACATGTGCCATCCATGACTTCCAAAACCGCGTTCTATCTTCCAGTCGGCAACTATAGTGATACAATGTGATACATACGTGCATATGCATATATATATATTACATTATATACATTATTTCATACTATATATATATGAGCACACAGGAACGTACACTTACAGTAATACATGGGAACACTTGCGCCGAGTTCTTAGGAAATTTCTCATATCCAGTGTCCTCCCAGCAGCGCCCAAGGATAGAGACAGCTTGACCTCCGTCATCCTCATCACTATCAGCATCTGGCAATGAGCAATGGAGGTTTAGTTTCAAAATGTTCAAAGAAAACGTCAGACGGGTTGGTGGCAAGAAGAAGCAAGAAGATAACACCACAAAATACGTTCTAATGGTGCAGTCAACGCAGATTAGGCCTGCACGTCTTTGGGATAGGGAACAGCTTTAACAGATGGAAGCCGTGACCTTCAACTGTTTCACCAAACATACTATATGATATTATATTATATTTCTTCCATGGCTGGCCTCGCTTGCCCATGGCCCTGCCGTGGCCACCTGAACGCTGCACATGACTCAACCTAGAACTGGATTAAATTGAGGCACCAAAACATGGCTACGACATGCTGTGACAGGATGCAGCTGCACCAATCTTGGGGTTGCTCAGAATACATCACCTCTTCTATATCATCATCGATTCAAAAGGTGTTCCCACGTTCCCACCTCAGGAAGGCCAGCAGAGAACCATCTCCGCTGGGTTCCAAGCTGGCCCCAAATTGTACCACTTGGCTTGAGGAGAGCCCAAGACACATCCAACATCCAACATGATCAAACCCGGTGAAGCTCGGCAGGGCGATGGGGAACCAGCATCAAGGATTCCAAAAGGAGGCCGTGCCATTTTGAGTTGGTAAGCCTGGTAAGCTAGGAGATTGGTTGCCTGTTGTCGCTTTGCGGCCTGACTAGACTACAGGGAGAGATTCTTTCGGATGGTAGGCTCAGCTCTTGGCTTCTGGGATCCTGTGACTACACCTAGATTCTGAGCAGTCCGTATCCCTGATTCCGTAGATAGATAGATAGATAGATAGATAGATTAGATTAGATAAGATAAGATAAGATTAGATAAGATAAGATAAGATTAGATAAGATAAGATAAGATTAGATTAGATAAGATTGGATAAGATTAGATAAGATTAGATAGATAGATAGGATAGATAGGATAGATAGATAGATAGATAGATAGGATAGG